TTTTTTTTCTGTACGCGGGCCTCTCACTGTTGTGGCCTCTCCCGTTGCGGAGCACAGGCTCCGGACGCGCAGGCTCAGCAGCCATGGCTCACCGGCCCAGCCGCGGCATGTGGGATCTTCCCAGACCGGGGCACGAACCCGTGTCCCCTGCATCGGCAGGCGGACTCTCAACCACTGCCCCACCAGGGAAGCCTCTGACGTCAATTCTTGTACCTCTTAGCCCAGATGAGGAACCCCTGGACCCGAAGAGGTTGAAACTCCTTTAACTTTTACATCTTAGTTTTCTTAGAATCCTGGCCCATTTGGAGCTTTCCAGAGGGGGAATCCAAGAGAGGGGAGGCATTTGCTATCGTTATTGGGCTCCCAATAAGTGCCAGGCACACTCGTTTAATCTTCAGAAGATAAGGTAGGCATCAGGATTCCTTTATAGAGGTGAGGAGCTGAGGCTCGGGAAGTGACGTAGTATGCCTGGGTCTCAGAGCTGGTGAGCGATAGAGCTGGGATTCAAACCCAAGCCTTTGGCTCTAGAGCCCCTCTCTCGGGGCCTAATTTAACTTCTCAGTTGTTCTAACGCTGCTTTGCTCCTCCAGTCCACCACACTGGCCCCAGGACTACGCGGGCTGTACCCCCTCACACCCCCGCCCCGCCGAGAACCTCTCTTCATTGGGAGGAACCAGCTGGGCAAAGCCCGGGGTCCCAGGCTTTGTGGTGGGGAGTACACAGGGCAGGTGCCGCAGGCCTGGCAGGGAAGGGCCCAGTGTGCTCAAGAGGCAGGGGTGGTCTACACTTGAACTAAATGAGCCCCCCGTCCCAAGGCAGAGAGAAGAATGGGAACCTGGATGTTGTAGCTTCCACACATCCCCGCTCCCCTTCACTTTCCCCTTGATGTATTTACCTAACAAAATCTAAACACTCGGGGATGGACAAAACCCTTCCCAGCTGCCAGCTCTCAGCTCCTTGGAGGCGGGAGCTCTCTGTCCAGCAGGAGGGACTGACCCCGCGTCCCATTTCCTTGGGGCAAGGAGCCCCGCCCCCCCACCTCTAGTCTGCTTGGGGCTGGTCTGCAGACATCTAGAGCTCTTTGGGGCACTTCACACTCCCGCTCTATGCTGGACGAAATGCCCCCTGGGCAAGGGGGCCAGCAGCAGCCGTTGTCCCAAATGGTTCTCCTTCCTTCATCACCACCTCCCTTGTCACCTCAGTACCTGCTACGCTGAACAAAGCTTTCTGAAGCTGAGATCGGGAGGGAGCTGGAGGGCCAGCTGCTTCAGCTGGCCAGTTTCCCAGGGGCAGAGTGTGGCAGACTGGAAGGGGTGTAACTGGAGATCATTAATGAGAGACTTGGTGGGGGGGTGCAATGTGCTTGCTGGTGGCTGCTGAGGGCAAGGACCTGTCCCACCCACACCGTGGCCACTTTTGAGCCATCTGAATGCTGGGGAGTCCAGCTATGGACCAGGATAACCCTCAGAGGAAATGCCTCAGCAGTGTGTGGGTGCGTGAATATCAGAATCTTCTCCAAGGAGGCGCCACTGCACGGCTGGAGAACCAGGCCCCTCCTCCTTGGGAGGCACTGGCTCGAATGGGCAGAAATCGGGGTGGGTTTGAGGAAAGGGCCTGCAAAGGGGGCGGGTGCGGCTGGAGTTCAGTGACTCCCAGGGGTCTGACCGCCTTTGGTTTTCAAACCGGGTCCCCCTGCCCCACACATCCCCTGCTCCACCAAAGGCACAAGCAGCACACGTACAATGGGGGAGGAATCTCAAACCCGCCCCTACCCTCCCACCCACACCCTGTGCTTCACGTGCGCTGAGCTCTCAGGATGAGCAGGTGGGCACACGGCCTGGGTGGTCCCTGATGCGTCCAGGAGAGCCCTCTCCTGCTCTGCCCCGGTCTCCGGATGGGCCCTCATGGCTGCAGAGCCTGGCCTGAGAGCGAGGCAAGTGCGCGCGCATGTCGGAGGGACGGCAATCTAGCCGGGCAGGAAGGAAGGTGGGAACGATCAGGGCCTGTCAAAAATTTTATTTGCGTTTTCATTTCACACGGAATGATGTTAAAATAAATCCTCAGTAATATATATTTATATACGTATTTACTTGTGTTGATATTTACAAAAGACTGTGGAGCTCCATGAAGTCTATGTACACCTATGATCAGGTGGACAGGCAATGTTCATTGAGGCACATATGTACACATATATGTATAACCTATGTACAAATATAAGACCCTACTGACACAGGAACTCTCAGCAGCAGAAGTCCTGGGCGGGGCAGTGTTGGTGGGGCTGAAAGCTTCCAGAATATGTCAGCAAGAATGATAATATCTATACATCCTGTGCAATGTGGTTAGAGCTGGTGTCTAAATTTTCACGAAGCAAACAAATAGTTAAATGACTCCCAACTCCCATGAGTCTTCCCCACAGGCCCTGCTCCGCCTCCAGCTCCCACTGGTCCCCAGCCTCTTATCACCATGGAGACCCCGGTTCCCTTTTGGCATCATCCTTACAGAGCGTTACCATCAGCCTTGGAGTTCCTTCTCCTATTGATCCCAGAGAGCCTTATTTATCTGCCTCTCCTTTTTGAGTTTTCAGAAATTATTAGAGCTAGGACACAGAGGGCAGCTGTGGAGCCATGCCTGAGCAGCAAGGAAGCCAGTGCAAACCCTAATTAGAATCTGTGCTGTGTGAGCGGCCATTTCCACATTTTCTATCTATGTGCGTGTAATATATAAATCTCCAGAGACAGCCTATATAAGCACATAAGCACACAGGTCTAGAAAAGGAAAAAGCATCGTGCACTTATGAGCTTTAGAGCTGTGTCCCTGATGAAAACTAGAGAATCCTCCTTGATTGCTGGCACCATTAATCCTGGCTGTTCCAAGATTACCCTTAGTGGAGCAAGGGATGTAGGGATGCAGAAACCCAGTCAGAGGCCAATTTGGCCCGGGCACTGCTTGCTCAGCAGGCTGGAGCTCGATCATGGGACTTTCCAGCTTCCTGGGGCCCTTCAAGTGAAGGAATCATCCAAGCACGACAACAAAGGGAAACTGGGTCGCTAGATCCCACGTGAAGGCAGAACTGGGGCAAGCACGGAGCGTGTTCAGACCCTCTGGAGTTGACACTCACCCTCGCCAAAGCCAGCCAGGCTACTCTCCATGCTTTTCTCTCTCACTTCTTAGCCTGTGGCAGCTTGCTCCACTCCAGCCCTACCTGGCAGGTCACAGTCCTCGCCCTGTGCTTCACAAGCTAAAAAGGCAGGCGTGTCAGCAGCTGACATGGAAATTGGTAGCAAAGTGAGCCCCTGAATATCCTCTTCCTCCCAGCTCCTTCTCTTTCTCTCTCTAGCAGCCCAGAGTGTTTATGTGCTCATACAAAGTGAGTGTCTGGGGAATCATTTTCAAGGAGAAGCAGGGCTTACAGCCCTCTCATGAAGACAGAGAACAGACCCAGGACTGAGTCCTCTGAGTAGCTACCAAAGGTCCTAGCGCGCTGCCACATTTACACTGCCCTCAGTTACCTAGATGTTGCAGCAGCTGTCCACATTATTATGTAATTACACCTGCCCTGTGCATCTGTCCGTGGAATGATGCAGGCAGTTCTCAACTGCAAACTCATCTGGAACATATCTGACTATTTTAGGAGTGCAGGGGAGCACAGAAAGTTATATTCGTTTCCTTGCTGAGGTTCAGGAGGTGTAAGAAGTGGCCATCAGGACAGGCTGCCTCAGTTGCTCCAGTTTACCAGCTGGCCATGCTAAGTCTGGTTTATGGGCTTCTATTATCTGATTGCTGTCAACTTGGCCAGACCGGAGGGCTTCTGGGAATGTTGGGAAAGGGCAAGCACCCCTGCACCACCTCACTTGCGTCAGATACGAGGAGCCCCTCTCAGCCCTATCTAGGTAGAGCACACATAGTCAAGTGCAGGAGGTGAGGCTGGAAGTATCTCCCATGGGTCTAACACACTGCCAGGGAGATGGAGAATGACAGCACTGTTCAGCTCAGACCCAGCTGTTTCTCCAAAGAGGCAGCTGAATTATGGGTGCTCTACTGCCTACACCGCAACCTAGATTTGGCCAGAATCAACAAAAGGATGGGTTCGTTAGTTCCATTGGTTGCTACACATCTCGCCTTCCATGGGGCAGAGATGTTCTTTAGCTCCTCATTAAAAATGTTACTTTCAGATCTCATGAAATTCAAGCCTAGGTTACCACCAATGACAAAGAGAGAGGGAAACAGATCCGTACTTTGCCAGGTCTTCGAGCTTTCCCCTCCCACAGAGCTACAAAGTTTGGAATAACTTTTCTGGTCCTCAGTGATGAGGTTACAGCCAATCAGGGCAGACAGAACAAAGAATAAAGCACCTGGCCTTTAGATCAGACTTCCCTTTTATCCCTGAGTCAGGCAGCCACATAGAAGGGAAGGGAAAGATGCTAGAGCCTGATCTTTTGTTATGAAAGAACTACCTTCTAGAGAGGTCCCTACGCAGGAGAAAAGGAGCTGAACTGGAGATATGGTGAGAATGCAAAGGAAGGTCATTTTAAAAATTCAAATAAATGCAGTTTATTTCTTGCGTTGCCAAATGTATTCCACATTAGTGAAGCTAAGGGGATCGGTCAGTGTATTAACTGTGTAACTTTTGAAACAACGGTATACATATATACATATACTATACATATATATACACAGATATATGTATATATGGAAAACCTGTGATAACTCAGGACCAATTAACCAAAACCTCGACTAATGAGAATTATGTTTTCTTACTATAATTTCAGTAGAAAGAGGCAAATGATAGCAAGGGCATTATCTGATGAGCCCAGATAGCCAACTTCCAGGGATGTCTTGCAGCCCGCAGACATTCATCCTATTTCTTTGGTCTTCTCCACCCACATTCTGTACAAGGAGCACTGAGGTTGAGAATGTTGACCCTGAGCAATGCAAGGTCTTCTGTCGTCTTCAAACATTTTACTTACTAAGGCAGGGAAGTTTATACTAACCTACTTAGGAAAGGTTTTTTTTTTTTTTTTTTTTTTTTTTCATAACAAAGGTTGAACCAAAACACGTTTTCCCATTCCCACCCAAAAAACCATAATTGTAAAGCCATCCAGACGGCTCCCTTCCCTGAGCATTTCCCCATCAGTTAACTGAGGTTTTGCTGTATACGCACGTATAGAGCAAGGTAGAGTGAAAAGGCATGGGATGGGACCCTGGCGTTGCCAGCCTTCCCCGATTGTCCAGTCTGAGAATTCAACCGCACAGATTTTTTTCAGGAAAGGAGACTCTTCTAAAGTCCCCAGTTACGTGTGTAGATATTTGTGCAACAGTACACTACCTTGGGTGGTGGGGGTCTTCGTTTCACTACTGTCATGCCCTAACCACCCACGAACACTATCCCTGTAGACCTCTGCCCACAAACACTTGCTTCTCTCCGCAGCTCTCATGGCATCCCTTTGGTTAAGCAAGTCAGCTTGTTTTGAAGGACAGCCAGAGGGCAATTCCCCAAATCTGCCCAGGCTACCCATCCCAGGTGCAAACCTCCAGGCCACATTCCTCCAGCATCCATCTCCCAGGGGAGGGGAGGGAGGAAAACAGAGGGATCAAGTGATGGCTTTAAGTGCATGGAAATGATCTTCTGTAATGGCTCAGGATGCTTTATTCTTATCTATTGGTAAGCGCTTTCCTGCAGGCTTCCATTACACCCTGCCAGTCTGACCATAAGCCCATGAGATGACCTGGTGTGAGGTCGCTCAGACTCAAGGTTTCAGTGCCTGGAGGTTGTGAGAGTGCCATGTGAGAGCAGGCGGAAGGGGCAGGTGGCAGGGAGAGAGGGACGGAGATGCACACGGAGACACAGAGAGGTGCACACGGGAAGAGCCAGAGAGATAAAGAAAGCCTTCTCCCGACCTTCCTTGTGCAGATGTGTATGTTTACATTCCAAAGGAGGGTCAGAGCCTCAGAGGGCAGGAGTCATATGACCATGTGGGAAGAAGAGGGAACTACAGAGACGGTGAACTAATGCCCAGAAGCCAAGGGCATTATCTGAGCATCCGGGTACTATCGCTTTTCAGTCCTGAGAACAAGATTTTGAGATAACTATTGCTAAAGAAAACAGTCACTATTTAGTTTATTGCACGTTTCCTCTTTAAAAAATAAACTATGAGAGATGGAGCTGAACTTTGGTGGGAAAGGAAGCAGAAAGAAGGGAAAAGTGAACTAGGTTTGTTTGAGGAAGAGACCCATCCCAGCTTGTCAGGGATCACTTACCTCCACCTGTCCCTGCTTGCTGCTTTGATGAGAGAACAGGGCTGGTCTCAACAAGGGCCAAGTCTTAGGATCAAGATAATGGTCACATTAGCCGTTTGGACACCTCCCAGCATCCAGCGCTCTGCTAGTTGGCTCTGCAGGTGGCTAATGATGTTAATGAGTTTGAGGTCATGGGTTCATACCTGGCAATGGACACTTTGTCAAGGCTGGGCAAGCCTCCATTGTGTAACCAAGGAGCACCCTGGAAATTACACCCTACGTAGACCAGCCCTCTCAGACCAGGCAGCCATCACCCAGACGGAGGCTGTTATGACAATGGGCCCTAGGAGAGCCAGAGCTGGAGCAGGGTTCACCATCCCCACCCCTGGGTAAACAATTCAAAGCAGTGTACTCCTCCCACCTGCCATGGGCGGGGGTGGGGGGGGTCTGGTGCTACCCTCATATGCAATTTGCAAACTGTCCTATAGTTTCCTTTGGGGAAAGTCAGCCTCCACCTCTCTTCTCTGCTACTGTTGGCAGCACTGAACCCCCAGCCTGCCCTCTCTCAACTGCGCGTGGCGCTGATACTTTATGGTTGACCGTGATTAAGGAAGTTGGCCAAAGACCTCACTACAATGGAGTGAGAGATCCAGGGAGAGCAGACAGGACAAGCTAATCCTGCAGCCCTCTCCACACGGGGTGGCCACATGAGCCCCCAGGCTGGAGACTCAACAAAGCTTTCCTGGCAGCCCTTTCCACACCAGACCAATGGAGTCTGGAGGCACACTCACTTGGGGCCCCCTTTCAGGGCTAACCTCCTGGTTTCATGCCTACTCCATCCTCCGAGGCCCAGCTGAGAGGAGCAGAGGGAAGCAGAGAGGAAGGAAGAGTGTGTCAAACACCACAGAAGCTTCAGGAAGCACAGTGCCTTCATTATGACCTTCGGTACATTTCAGCTCCTGAAAAGTTAATTCTGAAATATGACTAGCTCAGGTACTCTTTCTTCCTGACAACCTCTCCACCTCTCCTGGACTTCCTTCTCTGTAGACTCCTGAGAACTCCAACTTCCTTGAAAGTTTGAGCCCATGGAGACACCTGCTGAAGCTAAAGGGAAAATTGGTATCCTGACTTGAAAACACTTGAAAGGCCCAGCATGTTGCACTGAATGTGCAGATTTGGACCCACACGCTCATTTCCTGTGGCTGTTGCTTCCTCCGTGGAGACTGGGAGCTTGACTATCTTTAGGAGGGAAGCGTGGGGCACACCCTGGATGGCCGCAGGAGTAGAGACCTGATCTGATGCCTGACTTCAACCCCCCAACTTCCATCTGAGGTGAAGCCTTTGCTAAAACGCACCCAGCTCTCAGCTAGTCCTACTAGAGGGAAGAGCCAGCTCTGTGTGTAACCCAAAACAGCGTGTAATCTTACAAAGCATTTCAATCTGGCCTTAGAATATAGGATACAAATCAGGTCTTCTGAAAAAAAGATGCTGTTTGCTTGTGTAACATTAGGTTTAAGTCCTTAATCAGGTTTCACTTAAGCTGAATTGGTGTGTGTTTCCTCAAGGTACAGCCATTGGATGGGAGGCAAGGCAACCAGGTGGAGCCGGGGCAGGGGAAGAAGCCTGCCTGGCATTGCACACCCATAGAGGGGACTCAGGAGTTGACTCCATTGGGCTTATGCCCAAGAGCAAGTGAGATGCCACAAGCAAGTAAAGGTGACTCATTTTAAGAGACAAGTCTACATATGGCCTCGACTTTCTGACTGAGCCCCCTGACAAAGACACTGGGGATGGAGGGGCAATAAGGTCTGTGGGCTGAGGGAATGTTGGGAGCATCCTCCCTCTGGTTCTGGGCCTACGACCCTGCAGTTTCTTGAGCCACCACTGCTTTCAAGAGGACGGGGTTGAATCCAGAGATCCCAGGGGTTGGGAGCAGGGGAGACTGGGCTATTGGGTTGTCTGTGTGCACTTGCTTTGAAAGAAAGGACGGGGCCAGGAGGTGTATATTAATGGACCGTCAGCTGTCCCAGGTCCTTCCATGCTTGGCACCAGGGTTTCTGGTGGGAGGAAGGTGAACAGGTAGAAACCCTATGAGATTCCCAGTCTTAATCAGAGATCTGCTTGACGATGCTGGTCCATATTTTGCCTTAAACCTTGGGGTTATTTTTCTGAAATCTAGGAGTGAGGCGGGGGAAAAGACTAGAGGAAGAGATTTCCTGAAGGATATTGAGGGGGAGAGACGCAGGTTAGGGAAAGATGATTAAATCTGATCTTTTGTTTATGCCTATTAATTTATAGCTATGGAGGCAGAACAATGGATCTGAGTATATGTACACATTTCATGTGTGGTGTGTGTGTGTGTTCTTGGGTGTGTGTGCTGTATTTTGTGTGCGTAATGTGAATAAATGTATTGTGTGTACAAACCGAGTTTGTATTTTGTGTGCAGAAATAATAGTAAAGTATCTTTTGTGTATCCTGTATGTATACCCATGTGTCCATGTAGTTTCTGTGTGTTTTGCATCTGAGTTGCAGGTTTGTACGTGGTGTACGTAGGTATCTGTATATGTTCCGTATTGGTAAGTACATCCCGTGTCTGTGCTGAGTGTGTGTATTCTGGATATAGGTATAACCGTATATCTTTTGAGTGCCCTTTTCATTAATTTGGTCTCTGTGTATCTGCATGTGTGGTGCATGTTTTGTATTTGTGTATGGCAACAATGTAGATCTCTTTTGTGATGGGTGTGCATGTCTGTGTGCCGGTGTGGGTGAACATTTTATAGTCCCAGGTCAAGGACACTGGGATAAAACATCTACCCCACAACCTCGGCCTTAGGTATGCATTGTCTTACCATCTATTTTCCCAAGGTCTGCGTCCCTCCACCCTATGTCTTGGAAATGCAGCACCACCTCCCATATAGGAGAGGAAGAGAAGCACAGAGGCTTCGCGCTGGGCCTGGGATACCCTGCAGACCCCTGGGGATGTGGGTGACCAGGAACTAGTGAGCACCCTGGGCTGGTGCCCCACCCCCCCAGGTTAACTGTAGGTGCTGAAGAGCCAACAGTGAGGCCGGGGCTGGAGTCATGGCTGGGCAGCCTGACCACACAACTCGCTGTGTTTGGGAAATTTAATCTATTATGTTGAAAGGCAAAGAAGCCCAGTTTGTGAGGCAAAAGCTTCCCCACCTCCATGTATTCCAGGGCCAGCTGAACTCTACCTTTAGGCTATGCAGTGCTTTTTCACTCTCAGCCCGTTCTGGCGGTGGGGAATGATTCTGTGCCCAGGCTTTGGTTTCTTAAGCAGCCCTGGTTGCCAGTTTAATGCGGAGAGAGCTTGAGAGAACATGACGCCTGTGGATCGACTAGGGATTCCATCCCTTGGTCCTGAACTTCAGAAATTTTCACATAGAGGAGGTTTCCTTTCAGCCCAGACCTGTGGAATTGGGTCCCCAGGAGCCCTCCTCCTTAGTGTCCTTGGTTTCAAAGCAGGTGATCCATTCTGGCTCTTTGGGGAAAGATTCATGAAAGTGACAGATGCAGAGGCAAATGACCATGTTGGTTTTGTGTATTTTGCATCAGAGTTGCAGGTTGTGTCTTCGTTCATGGTATATGTAGGTCTCTTGTGTATGTTCTATATTGGTAAATACATTCTACGTCTTAAATAAAAACCGGACAGGGTGGGGAAAGACGAGAATGGAGGTGATGAAGATGATGGGCTGTAGAGAGGAGGCCTGGGTTGGGTCTGGCCCAGGACAGCTGGAGCTGTGAGGGCCCTAGGGCCCTTGTGCACTCAGTAAGACAAGCTTCAGCCATGAGAAACTGAAGCTGCAGCACATGGAGGGCAGAAAGACAATTCGAACATCTAAGAATCCATGAAGACTGGAGTGTCTGAGGCAATGGCAGCAAACCTAGGCCCAGTGGGATGACCAATGAGACAAATTAACCCATTAGGCCTCTGAGACAACCAACCCACCAAGCAGTGGATTTGCTCCTGAACCTGAACTCCAGAGAATGACTATATATGTATGTGTGCATATATACATATACACACGTATGTATGTATATATATGTATATATATATATGTGTGTGTATATATATATATACACACTCTAGTGCACATAGTCAAACACATGCATATATTGCCCTGTGTCAAAAATATTGCATAAGCTTATACAAGGTTCAAATGCAATTTTTTCTATAGCTAGCTAGGTAGAGGAATTCGTGAAAGAGATTCTCGGTACATATTTATATACACTGGATCCACAGATCCACATTTCCTCAGGACGAGATGCCCCAGTCAGCTATACAGTCATGCCCATGACTAGGTTAATTCCTAAGGTGCAGTCACGTGAGGTGTTTAGACACTGCTTTCCCTGCTCACTCTCCTGGCTTTGCAGAGCTGTGTGCCCCCATTTGGAAGAACAGGGATGGGGTGGGCTGGAGGGCCAGAAGTTTTGGTTCCCCACTCCAAACAGTCTATTTTTTTTCTCCTGATTGAGGGCTTTTGTATTCTGATGGGAAAAAAAAGACAACCCTCGTTCAACGCCATTCCTAGGCTATTAATACTCTAAATATGAATACTGTGTAGGCTACTAAGAAAATAGGTTATCTCCTGTGTTTTAAATATTGAGATTCATGCAACAAACACCCATGCAGCTCTATCGCATCACTGGTAAATTTCACTGCAGTGTCAGTGTAGCTGGGCCCCAGCACTAGGAAAGCAGATGCCTGCAACCTCCAGTGTAACGAAGAAATCAGACATGTTTTTGTGACCCCGAAGCCTGCAAAAATGGTGAAATCTGAAGCTGAGAGGTCCCTTGGTTTGTTAGCTTCTCCCAGTAGCGTTAAGGGAGCAAATGTGAAACCTGACAACTCATATTCGGTCATCCTAACTGTCCCTCCCCTGGGCTTCCCTCACATCGACACTGCAGAGAAAAAACCAAATGCAGTATTTTCCGTTATGAAACACAAGCCTCCGGAGCGTCTGCTTGGCAACTGCATTTCACAACCCCCCAGCCTGTGACACAGAAATTAATTCCAACACACAGCACTGTGTGTTCTTTTCAATGCAAAAATGGGAAAGACCTTTCGAATAATTACCAGAACTTTAAAGCTAAGCTACCGTGGTTTTCCTCTGTGAAGGGGGAGGTAGGCTCAAGTGGGGTGGTGGGGGGAATTGCATCTGCGAGATGCCGTGTGCATTTCATTAGGAAGAAAAGGTGACACTGATGTGGTAGGTTCTGTATTTGCTATGAGGTGGCCTCAATGTGTCCTTCTGAAATCCTGGCTTCCATAGGTGACTCCCATCTTTGGAAACCCCTAAGCCGGTGATGAAGATTTGCATGAAAGCCATGGATACATATTCTGTGTTCTAAATCAAAAATCAAAAGATCAAAAGTCACTTGCACGACTATTGCTTTCCATGCAGAACCAGATACACACTGTAGAACACACTGACTACAATGCAGGCTATTATGCGATATCTGCATTAGTTCCATTGAGCTGGGAGTATGTGAATAGGGTTCAATCAGACATCAGTTAACATTTTGGTAATATTCACATAGTTTGTATTAGCCAAAGTGCAGTTGGCTGTTTTCAAGTTTTCCTCTCTAAAGTCCTCGTTACTGTTGTTTACCCCCTCCTGGATCTCCATGTAGTCAGACTTACTAATGGTAGAGGCACTTCTACTTTTCTTTAGGTCAGGGGAGGATGGGATCTTTGGACAGCTCGTCACTTGCAAGTACTGGGCCTGTTCCTCTCCCTCTGTCTCCCGGTGGTAGAAGTAGTTGAAATTGGACACTATGACGGGGACAGGTAAGGCAATGGTTAACACACCTGCAATTGCACATAGGGAACCCACGATCTTTCCCCCAATAGTAGTTGGAACCATGTCTCCATAGCCTACAGTTGTCATGGAGACGACTGCCCACCAGAAGGCGTCCGGGATGCTTGGGAATTGGGACTCTCGCTCATCGGCCTCTGCGAAATAGACAGCACTAGAGAAGAGGATGACCCCGATGAAGAGGAAGAATATCAGGAGGCCTAATTCTCTCATGCTGGCTTTGAGGGTCTGACCTAGAATCTGAAGACCTTTGGAGTGTCTGGACAACTTGAAAATCCTAAAGACTCTTACCAACCGGATGACTCGAAGGATGGCCAGTGACATGGCCTGCTGGCCCTGCTGAGCATCTTCTGGCTTCTCAGCCAGCTCTGTTCCCAGGGTGATGAAGTAGGGGATGATGGCTACAATGTCAATGATGTTCATGATGTTGGTGAAGAAGCCGGCTTTGCTGGGACAGGCAAAGAACCTCACCAAGAACTCAAAGGAGAACCAGATGATGCAGAGGGTCTCTACAATGAAGAAAGGGTCGGTGAAGGAAGTGGACTGCTGGTACCCGATGGTGCTATTGGAATAGGTATGGAAGGTCACTCCACTGCCATGCATGTCTTCATTCTCATCCCGGAATATGGGCAACGTCTCCAGGCAGAAGCTGACGATTGAGATCAAGATCACCATGACAGATACAATAGCTATAATCCTGGCAGGCCCTGAGCTCTCTGGGTATTCAAAGAGAAGCCACACCTGTCTCTGAAATTCATTTTCGGGTAGAGGACGCTCTTCCTCTTTGATGTAGCCTTCATCTTCCCGAAACATCTCCATTGCTTCTTCTCCTAGCTCATAAAACCGAATTTCTTCGGAGAATATATCTAAGGGCACATTCACGGGTCGCCTCAACCGGCCCCCAGACTGGTAGTAGTACAAAATGGCATCAAAGCTTGGGCGGTTCCGATCGAAAAAGTACTCATTCCGGAGAGGGTCAAAGTATCTCATCCGCTTCTTTGGGTCCCCTAAGAGGGTCTCTGGAAACTGGGCTAAGGTCTTTAGCTGGGTCTCAAACCGCAGCCCTGAGATGTTGATCACCACCCTCTCACAGCATTCGTGGTCTGCTTCTGGGTCATAGGTGTCCTGCGGGTGCCCAGGGAGGGCAGCGGCCTCATCCACTGGGTCTCCGGTGGCCACTGTCATAATTGGAACCAAGAGAAGCGCCTCTCGCTACGCCTTCTAGCTGCCTGGCGGCAGGGAGCTCAGGGCGCTGCTTACGGCCCCAGGAAACACAGCAGCATCGGCCTGCACTCCTGCAGGGGAGCCCCCAGGTCTCTCTGAGAGCCAGAGAGATAGCCCCGCTTGGCTGAAAGACAGAGGTGGTTAAGGACATAAGACCACTCAGCATTGGCAACTTGACCTGGGTTGCTGCTTTTTCTCTCTCATCTCTCAGCCAAGAAGCTCAAAAATATGACCACCACCACAAAAAAGTAAGATTTATGTTCACCTCGTAGCCTGGCTGGGGATGGGAGGGGAGCAGGTGGCGGTCTCTCAAGAAAGCTCTGGATTGCCCTGCACTGGGGGCAGGTGGCTGGTCCAGGTCCCTCTGCACTGCACAGGCTTCATGGAGCACAGCCCCATATCAGAGGCTGGAAGGGAACCTTCTCCCAGGCAGTGAACTAACGTCTTGCAGATACCTGCACCCTGGGAGGTATTTGCAGTGGTGGACCTTGGGCCTGGGCCTCTCTCATTGCCCACACCCCAATGACTCTACAAATGGCTGTTATTAAATAATAGATTGATTTACCTGGCAAGGCAGGAATCTGCAGCTCTCTTCCTTGCAGAACTGATCCGATGCTGCAGGAATCCTAGATACACAAACAGGCAGCCTGATTCCCCATCACGTCTTCTCACTTGAGCTAGAAATAATGGTGAGTCATTCTGGGCAGGAGGGTAGGCTCCAGGTCCTGGAGGTGAGCTCCTGGGCTGGGCTGGGCTGGAGGGGCAGTGGGATGCCTGGTCAAGGGCACGCAGGACTCGAGGACAGCCGAGATTGGGTCTGGAGCCTTTGAAAGGAAGGAGGCAAGATGCAATGCTCAGCAAAAGCCAGAGTCCTCCTGGCTGTCCTCAGGAGGTGTGACGTTGCCTGGAAAAAACAAGGTGGAATCAGGGTTTCTGGGCAGCTGGTGCCAAGATTTAGGAGGGCGCTGGCAGCTTCTCTTCCATGCCCACCTTGCATTCTGGTGTCACACCTGAGAACTATCCCTCAGCCTCCCAGCCTCCTCTGGGCAGGCTTACATCAGTTGGAAGTATGCTCTCCCAGGGAACAAGCCTTTAAACTTGGCTGGGCCTGTCTCCTCCAGGGGCCTCACCGGGCTGAGCCAGATGCCCCATTGGTCCTCTGCAGCCATCAGGAGGGACTCTGGGCAAAGCCTCCCACCCCCAGGTCAGGACACAGCATCTCCCAAGGGGAGGGCTTCCTATGCTGCAGCCTGACTTCCAGCTCTGTCCTCTGCAAAGTCCTGGAAGAAGAACCGGCTCCTCCCCACTCTGGCCCCCCAACACACACACTCCTTCAGAGCTCATTTAGGGAGACTCCTCACACAGAAAGGTCGATCTCCAAAAGCTGGCTGGCTTGGTCCCAGGACTTACTCTCCTTCAGGGATCCCTAAACTGCAGGCCTCCCTCCGGGCGCGGTGGCATTTGAACTGGGCAGGCGCTCGACCACCGATTTCTCCCCAAGACAAAATCCCTCACGTCGTCTCCTCGGCAGTGAGCACAGAACCAAGGCTCAAGTCAGCCTGGCTTCGAGGCGGCTTGGCAGCAGCGAGAGGGGGGAGCCTGGAGGAAGCCGGCTTCCGGGCTGGCCCCCTGCCGGCCCAATCCTGCCGGCCCCAGGGCGGGGAGGGGTCCGGGGCCTCTCCCCATCGCCCCGGGCTCCGGCCGGGACTCCGCCGGGCGCGCTCCGCGCTCGGCTCCGAGCGAGTGGATCAGACCCACCAGCTGGCCGCGGCAGTCAGCGCCACCTTAACCCCCTCCTGCCCGATCCGGAGGGGGCTCTAGCGGCGGGCCAGAGCGCAGCCCAGCTGTTTTGCCCCTAGGATCCGAGGGAGCTCCTAGGCTCGATCTCCTTCGGAAAACACTGGAACCTAAACACTGGGGGTGGGGAGTAGGCTGCTGCCCCAGATCTTGGCTTCCTCCCTCCTAAGAGCGGGGTCACCCCGGCAGCCCACGGCCCCAGGGAGGCGGAAAAGCCCTGCTCTGCCGAAAAGCCGTTTTCATTCCGAGCCGGGGGGGGAACCCTGCCCGGCCGTCGCAAGTGATTTGGGTCCTACCAACCGGCTCTATTTACCAGACATGGTTATGCTGTCACTGCACTTCCCATCACCCACCAGCTCCTCTCTGCGCCCCCCGCCACGCGCCCCGCATTGCCCGGAGGGTCCCCGAGCCCGTTCCGTGTTCTCTCCTTCCGCTGGACGCCAGCCCCCTCGCCCGCCCCGGTCCGGGCCGGCAGCCATGGTCGGCACAGACTCGCCCGCCCCGGACTCAGCCCGAGCCCGCCGCGATGCCGGCTGCGCCGCCCGGTGCCCCGCAGCCCCTCTGGGCGCCGCAGCCCAGGCAGGGGGAGGCAGCACGCGCAGCCGAGCGCCCCGACACCCATTTACCCTTCCCGATGGGCACCCGGAGCCTCCATGTTTCTGGGTGACCGCAAGCGCCGGCAGAACCGCGGCGGCAGCGGGAGGCGGCGGC